TAATATTACATCTGATCTATATTTGAAATTTCATATAATCAAAGCAAAATTAGCGAACAACTACAATATAACATTAAATCAATCGGCGCTCAATTAACATTACTGCACCTCATTGATCCAAACGTCACCTTATTCGTCTATTTGCTCACTTGTGAATTTTAAGTAAGCATGCACTCAATTAAAGCATCAGAAAGCACTCAGAACAATATCCATTGAGGCACTCTCTGCGATCCAAGCTGCGTCAAGGTTATGCTCCTCTCATTTTATGTGTGCTCGCACAACAAACTATGCTACATATTAGTGTATGTGCAATTATGAAGCATTGAAGAAAGCTTTCAGCAGTCACTAGGTTCCATTGATGCGCTCAGTAGCACCTGCTGAATTATGAATCAAGCGACGTCTTACACCTTCTGTTCACCCACTTGTGGATTTTCTAAGTGCTCTCGCTCTCAAAATTCAGACTGCAGTCGTGTACATATGTGTGTGTGCACCTTTCCAATCAAGCTTAACGGCTAGGAGAGAGATTTAGCTCTACTTATGTATGCATTAATATGTGGCTGTTTACTGAATATTTATTAAAAATTTCCAGCGGGAATTAAAAAACACTATTAAAGAGTTTAAATAATTTTCTTTTCGATTACTTAGATAAAAATCTCTATTTGTACATGTCGAACGACATATTTACATTATTAAAAAATATTTTTTTTTTTTTGTATTCCTATCAGTTCCATCAGTTCAGACAACAAACGTAACACACCATTCTGAGAGAAACTCAGCGGACAACTAAGTTCGGGGAATTGTGGACAGCCTTTGCAAAGTCGGCATTCACTCAAATACTAATACAAATAAAATCATTTACTATAAATGCTTCCCACGATTACACATACATACATCAACACAAATGCAAAAACAATTGGCATACATCTTTACCAGCCCTCCCGCTCTCACAAAATAGTGCTACAAAACTCAATAGCCGGGCCGAACTGTTATAAAAACATTGAGCTTGGCATCCACAACAACATTTAGCTTAACCATCAACTATGATCCACTGCGCTCTGCGTCTTATGTGAATTTTACTGTTTTTGCTGTCAGCAGCAAACAGCCGACAAAAATGTCGTATTTAACTTACATGAAGATAATTCTCGAATAAGTTATTTGCCTACGCAAAAGATTTAGAAAAATGCATTAGTCATTCATAATTTCAGTCAGCTCACGTAAATTGATTATTGTACTTTTGTCGGCTGAGCATGCGTATGTACATATGTACTCAATGTAAGTAGAACAGAAAAAATGAGAGAGGACGACAATGCAAAAATGGACAATGCAAAGTGTATAGGCTCTTATCTGTTAATCACTCTATCTCTCTCCCTCTATCTATATATCTGTGTGTCGGCTTATCTCTCTCGCTCTCTATCTCTCTCCTGCTCTCGCACTGCAGTTACATTTCAAGTGCATTTATATTGCACACAGGGCAATTTAGCTAGTTCAGTTGACTCTTGATTGTTGCGGAATGTTCATCCTAGGGCTGTTGCTACTGCTGCTGCTCGCCTGGATTTGGCAACGCTGGCACTTCGGTTACTGGCAGCGCCTGGGCGTACCTCAAACGCCCGCCACGCCCTTTGTGGGCAATGTCTGGCGCCTGTTGCGCGGCTGCTGTTGCTTTGGCGATCAGTTTCGTGAGCTGTACGAGAGTGCCGCTGCCAAAGGTGAGGCCTATGTGGGCATCCATGTGCTGCACAACCATGCGCTGCTGCTGCGAGAGCCGGCGCTAATCAAGCGCATTCTCGTCGAGGACTTTGCGCAGTTCTCGAGTCGTTTCGAGACTACAGACGCCATCGGCGACACGATGGGCTCCCAGAATCTGTTCTTCTCCAAGTACGAAATGTGGCGCGAGACGCACAAGATCTTTGCGCCCTTCTTTGCTGCAGGCAAAGTGCGAAACATGTTCGGACTGCTGCAGCAGATTGGCCAGCAGTTGGAGCAGCATATGGCCAGGCAGCTGGCAGCATCGGGCTCATCGGCGACTGCATTCGAGCTGGAGGTGAAGCAGTTGAGCGCGCTCTTCAGCACGGATATAATTGCCTCGTTGGCTTTTGGGCTGGACGCCAACTGCCTGCAGCAGCCGGACGCCGAGTTTCGCCGCATGTGCATCGAGGTGAATGAGCCGCGGCCGAAGCGTCTCCTGCATCTCTTTACCATGTTCTTCTTCCCTCGCTGCTCGCGCCAACTACGCACACATCTCTATTCGGAGGAGTACGAACGCTTCATGCGCAAGTCTATGAACTGGGTGATGGAGCAGCGGGCGGCTAGTGGCGAGCAGCGTCACGATCTGATTGACATATTCCTGCAGCTGCAGCGCAACCAGCCGCCGGAGAGCGTAGTGCATCGACGTGACTTCTATGTGGCCCAGGCGGCATTCCTGCTGCTGGCCGGTTTCGACACCTCCTCCTCGACCATAACGTTCGCACTTTACGAGCTGGCCCGCCAGCCGGCCATACAGCAGCGTCTTCGGCAAGAGTTGGCAGCGGCGCTGCTGGGCTGCGTCTCTGGCCAACTGGACTATGAGACGCTCAGCGGCTTGCCCTATTTGCGGCAGGTGGTGGACGAGGTCTTGCGTTTGTATCCGCCCACAGCATTTCTGGATCGTTGCTGTAACGCCAAGGCGGGCTACGATTTGTCCGCTTGGGGTAGAGGCAAACCCCTGCGCTTGCCGCCAGGCACGCCCGTCTACATCTCTGTGCTGGGACTGCATCGCGATGAGCAGGTGAGAGGTCAACAGTTGAGCTTAAGCATTATTTAAAACGCTGGTTTTTGCAGTATTGGCCGCAACCGCTGAAATTTGATCCGGAGCGTTTTGCGCCGGAGCAGCGAGCCCAGCATCAGCCCATGACGTATTTGCCCTTTGGTGCTGGTCCGCGTGGCTGTCTGGGCACCTTGCTTGGCCTGCTGGAGATCAAGGTGGGCTTAGTTAGGTTTCATTTCATATTCACGTGAACTTACCTATGTTTTAAATCAACAGGTGGGTCTGTTTTACATACTGAAGAACTATCGCGTGGAGAGTTGCCCGCGGACACTGCCGGAAATGAAATTCGATGCGAAATCCTTTGTCCTGACAGCTGCGGGCGGCACCTATTTACGCTTCATCCACGAACCGCTTTGAAATAGGGGAGCTGAACAATAAATTTGCTTCTTTCTATATTTTTTATTTTTGAATTTTCACATTATTAGAGTAATTGTTTTTCACATATTTTTATTTAATGTATTTTTTTTTTTTTAATTTTTCTTGTTTGTTTTTAGCYTAAGATCAGCTCAAAAATGTTCACAAAATTTGTCAGTTGGGCTAACCAAATATTGTTGGCCATAATAAATATGGCTAATCTACCATTTAGACTATAGACTGTATTTATTGGCGGGCTTATCAGTATAAGTAATTGAAGTCTTAAATGACGTGCATTGATAAGAAAATGAAATTAAACCAAGGCAAAGAAATTGAATTTTTCAGTTTGGGTAAAGAAAAAGTTTTATGACCGCGACTTTTAGCCATATATCAAATGTTACCGACAATATTTGGATAGCTTGACAATCAACCATAAATATGTTGTGTCTATTTGTTTTTCTTGTTTTCCTTCTTTTATTTATATTTATCATATACAATTTAAAAAACTAGCTCTCGAGCTACCTGGCTTATCTTCACTTTTTACAAATTATCAAAAACATAACTAAAGCAATTTTACACACTCATTATGAATGAACTAAGAGCTAAGCTAACAACTAATTGCATTTTGTTTTTTTCTCATTTTGAATTATACATAAATATATATATTTTAATTATAATATATTAACACAAAGTTGTATTTGTATTTGTATTTTATTTTTATACATAAACGTTTTCACTTTCTTTTGCGGAGAATCGAAATTGAATAAAAATTGTTGATTTTTCAATTCAATAAAAATTTTTGTTTCAAAAGCAAGACGCAAAATGCAAAGTTTACTGTTACGTTGAAATTGTAAAAAAAGTATGCATTAATATACTTTGTGAATTTTCAACTGCTACGCAAACAAATTTTGTGATTTTAATTCATCAGAATTATGTTTACTATTTTTGTATATATTTTTATTTTATTTTATTTTTGTTGCAATATATTTTAGCAGTTTTCAAAAGGAAGCAGCATTTATTATGGCATATGTATGTATATATAACGGAAGGTTGTATTTTCGGTTTTTTAATTTCAACTCCTTATCATTTGTATATATGTATAATTATATATATGTATGTGTGTGTGGCAAGCAAATTTGCATTTTGTTTTGTTGCAATGACAGCTTTTGATTTTTAGTATTTCAGTTGTTTTTTTTCTTATTGGAAGCAATAAATTAAATATTGTTGCAAGTATTTTGTTGAAATTTTGAATTTTTTTCTAACAATATTTTAAATTTCTATTTACATTCAAAGTGCAAGCATCTAAGTGGTTAATTTGAAAGTTTGAAAATTTCTTTTATATTTGGTTTTTCTCTTCTTCACACAATATACAATAAAATTTTTGTTAATTTTTTTTTTTTTTTTTTTTGCTTTGTTGCTTTACTTTGACTTTGGAAGTGTGTTGGAGGCTCGTAATTAAGAGAGTTAAGCAAGGCAATAAAAATAAATAAAATGTGCAAATACAAAATTATTGTAAAATTTATGTATGCCAAATATTTGTATTTCTTAAAAAGGTCCAAAACACTCCCAGAAGCGCTAACAGCGACAAAATGTTAATTAACATAAGTGAGAGCGCTGCTAATTAACATGATGCTATGCTTAGGCTGTTGCTTTTATTTTGTTTACTTTAGTTTTGTGTAACTAACTCTTAATACACACATTCATTATTACACATAACGGTATATACGCATACATATATATGTATATATATATAGCTAGTTACATTTAGTAGTAGTGTACTTTTGACATGACATACATTTAAATATATAGTTTATACTTGTATATATATGTAGTATATATATATACTCTCACTTTTAGCTTGCTAGTAAATATCATGTAAAAATTAAATCATTACATTAACTCTTTTGTTTGTTTCTTTTTTTTTTCTCACTATACTTGTATTTCAATCTGTTGTTGTGGTTTTTTTTTTCTGTTTTGTTTTAGTCTTCTTAATACATTTTACGAAACACACACATTAGAATCGTGGAACTGCTACTATCTTCGATCCTGCATGACCACCTGTTTAAAGGCACCCGCCCTCACATTCGACTTGACTTCATGCCCTCCAAGCGAGGCGGTGCCATCGCGTGCTATATAGAGCTGCAATCCAGATGCTAAATCAGAGAGAGAGAGAGAGAGTGTATCATTAATTTAGATACTAATCGGATATTAAATTCTACTCACTCTCGGCGGATTCGCCTAGCTGATCTAGTTTGGTATCCTTTAAAATCTCATCTATTAACGAATTGGGGTTGACGCGCGTCTCTTCGACACGATCCGAAACGCGTGGCCCATCATCGAGGGCGCCCTTTTTGCGCTTCTCACCGCTGGTTTTCGTGCGATCTAGAGATCCTGTTTCACTTATAACTAACGAGCCGGAACTGGGATTCCTGTGAAGCCAAAAAGGACAATACAATTAAGTACATATATAGAGTAGAATATACATATATAGTAATATCGCCCTGTTTACTTTCAAAATTGTGAATAAGCAGCGAGTTACAATATTGGGACATAGGCAAGACAACGGACCAGTACAATTGAATGGGGCTATCAAATCTGGCCATGCCATGCATAAAACATATGAATGTGTGTCTGTGTGTGTGTGTGCTTATATATACTTGGCTTAAAAGTATTGGCATACAATATGCTTAAAAAATCTGGTGCAATATGAAAACAAGCAAGCCCTGAAAATTAAAAACTCGAAGCTGCACAGTAAAAATAAAACTTAGCAATAAATATATTAATATTACAAGATTCACATAATTACAAATTAAATTAATGTAAATTAAAAAAGAAATATGTTTACAAACAATTTTTATCGTTGTATGACACATAAATTTACACACAAGTATTTGGATTAACAAATTATTATGTTGTTTACAAATAGGACATTTATATACGAACTGGATTAAATAATAAAATAAGAATAATAATAAAATAAGAATCTAGAATATTTTAATACAAAACATGCTGATAGTTGTTGTATTACATATATTTCGATTCAAATTTATTATTTTCCAGACTTTGGAGTGGACTAAACTTTGATTTATTTTATATTAATTTGTTTGCCAAAAACTAACGTCTGTTTCCTTTTTCTTCTTTTAAGAAAACGGTAAACAATGATATATAAAGTAACTTAATATGTATATTGATATTTTGCAATATGAAAAGTTATTCCTTTTGAATTTTGAATTAAATATATATATACAACATTAAAATAGGTATGAAAATAATAAATATTTCCAAATTTATAACTAGAATTAGGATAATAAATAATCATAATCTGGGTGGAAAAATAGAACTATTTTCCCCACATGGTTAAAAAATGAAGATATTTTTCAATCCTTTTGGTATTACACACATAAAATAATTAAAAAATAAACTTATTTGTTGAAAGAGACAAACTCTAATATCTCTCCATGAACCAAATAACATAAAAATTAATACATATTTCTAATTCTTTCGCTTAGCAATTTTTGACTAACACATTTTTTTTTATTATTAATCTTAAACCAGTGTTAGCTCAATGCAGCTCTTACAACTCTCAAATAGCTAGAAACATTTATGTTTCTGCAACGGACAGACAAAATCTGCTGCCTATATATACAAAAATCTCTGCTAATAATTTCCCAGCTCTAAAAAATTTATATAAATTATAGTTTATAGACAAAATTACATGACAACGAGTTACGAGCACAACAACAAGGTAGCATAACTTAAGGATCTAACAAGTTGATACAAAGAAACAAAGGGAGGCAGGCAACTAAGTATTAAAGTTCGCTGTGCGGATAAATTGAGAACCCACATCATGGTGATGCTGGGCCGACGGATGATCTGTGTGGTGGCCAGCGGAGAGAGCGTTGCGCCCGAGACAGACATCGTGGTCGCCGAGGCTAGAGCCGATGCCTCCGCTGCCGCAGCCGATGTGGAGAGCAGCAGCGATGCAGCCGATGGATTGGAGCGTATGCTGCACGCATCTGTGGGACTGGCTGCCAGCGAGCTGAGCGCATCTCCCGACATGACATTGCCAATCCTTGGGCTATTGGCATGCCCATTCGGTGAGCCAATCAGCGTCTGTTGTGACGGTCCATCCACAGTATCCGGATTGCACTGAAAGGTGATGAGGGCACCGCTGCTGCTGCTGTTGCTGCCGTTCGACGAGGAGGCCGAGTGATTTGAATGGATGCTGGCTAAAGTGCCGCACGGTGAGCAGCTGCTGCCCAGTGCATAGCCATAGGATCCTCCCGATGCTCCGCCTCCAGCTCCAGCTGCAGCAGCTGCTGCTGCCGCTGCCGCCGCCGACACCGCTGTGGGCTGTCGATTGCCGCCGCTGCTGTTGTTGGCGCTGCTGTTGCAATTGTTGTTGCCGCCGCTGTCGAAGAGGCGACGTGGCACACCGCTGAAGCTTCTGCATGTTGCGCGTTGTTTTATTTGTTGTTTTTGTTAGATTAATTCATAGACACAGTTACAGATCAAAGCGTTATGTTTTCATATATATAGATATATAAATTTATATATGGGAGAAGACATAAGAAAAAAAAAAACATTTGCAAAATATGCACAATAAAATGGATGAGTAATAGTAGAAAATACTTAAAGTATATCATATATTCATAAATATATTTAAATATCTGATAATAGTATATTTATATAGTATATATTCAGCAAACACGTCTAGCTTAACTCAAGAAGCATTTGAATTTTGGATTTATGTTAAGTTATTATCTTATTTAAGAGAATTTATCATATCAATATTAGATAAGCTTTTGATTATCTGTGTAACTTTTGTGTGTGTAGCAGTGTTTGTGTGGGTGTTTCCGTGTTTCAAATAATATTTAAATTAAATATACATAATAATATGAATATTTAAAAAAATGAAAAGAAACACAAATTGGTAATAGTTAAATGTACTCTGAGCTCCTATCCTATCAATAACTGGTTATATATTTCTTCCTTTTATAATTTGTTCAGGTGTAATACTATTTTTGAATCTGAATATATGAATACTTATTTTTTTTTAGTCATTATGTATTATATACCAAGTTAGCTTTTATATAATTCCATATATAACTAACTAATAATATAATTTTAAGTATTTTTATTTATTTTTGTTATTACTACTATTTTTTCTTTAATTATTATTTTACTGCTGTTAATTTTGTATTATTATTATTATAGCATATATATATCTATAATTTTGGTTTATTTTATGTATGTATATATTTTAAAATTTAACTAATATATTTTAAAAGATACCCATTTTTCAGATTATATTGTTTGATATTTTGTAAAAAATGAGGTTTATATTTTGAAATTTCTCAACTCTTTATAGCTTTGAATTCCCTATATATACCCAAAACCAAGCCGAGGCTTCAATAACATTAAATAATTATTCTCAAATTATATTTAATTGTAATACAAATTGTACATAATTCAGACGCAAACACTGACCTCTGACAGGCTTGACTTTACTTTCACTCTTATCTTCAATCTGACTTGTTACCTGGTGCCTAATAAATTTATGGCACTCTAAACACCATAAGCAAATGTCAATGGGTGAGTGCTTTTGGGCTATTGTAAATTTCATGAAAATAGCAAGCAAAAAGCTTGTTTTCTTCTCCCAGCTAGATGGAGGTCAAGGTTAAAGTTTAGATGACCGACTAAAAAGTTGACAGACAGGGGGACGAGTCCTTGCCCCAGTTTCAATCATTGTTGACCCCGAAATGGACAAGCTATGAGTAGAGACGTAGCGTTTGTGGCAGCGGACGAGGGGCAAATATAAACTAAATTAACGTTGTTTGATTAGCGAGGGTAAATGAAAATTGAAGGCGTCCATTTCACTTAAAGAACAAAAATAAATTAAGTTGTAGACGAAGTTCTGTTAAGTTTATAATTAAAACATAATTAATAGGCCCCAATTAAAATAAGTGCTTAGTAACTGTAGAAGCACCAGTAGCTAAAGTTGACTGTACAATAGGGTGACCAGTCCCAGTGATACGACCCAAGGGATAAGGCAATAATAATTACATTGTAAAGAGTTATATAAGAATAGCTTATATCTAAGATTTAGGTCTAACTTAGCTGTAACCCGGTTTGGGGTAATGATTAGTATAAAATCAATAAAGGAACACGAACGTGAACAAAACAGAACGGAACCAAAATATAAACAAAAACAAGAACAATAACATAATATCAACAAAACAAATGAAAGTGCATTAAATGATACGAGTTTAAGCGTTTTCAACGGGTGTCAGAACATCAACTAATTGTCAACGAGTCAGACCCAACGAGTAACGAGTATTTTAGTTTAATTTGTTATAGAACTGAAGTGAGTCCGGCTCTTCAAGCAAAGAGCAAAGCTGAACGAGTAACGAGTGAAATGCCGTTGTTGAGCCAATTATATATATCTTTAATTTGAATAAATTAAATGTAAATCAATATAACAACAGACTAACGACAAATTGAATCAGCGTTTTGACAGTTTAATATGTAAGGAATAAAGTGTTACGAGTAACGATTTGCTGCTGAGCTAATTGTATATGTTCATTTTGAATGTTTTCGCTGATCAATGTTGACGCCAAACTGAAACGAGTGTGGAATAAAGTTACCAAGCAAGGAGTAAAGCGAGAAGAGTAACATTCGCTGTTAAACTAGTTTCATTTTGGCGAGCAAGACAGCCGAGTAGAGCTTAACGAAAATGACTAACAATAAGGCGGTAAACTAGATAAATATAAGGTTTTTTTGGGAGCAATGAAGAACTGTCTAAGACCAAAACGTTAACAAGCAAACGAGTAATGAGTAAAGCTCAACGAGTAACGAGCAAAGCTTAACGAGTAGCGAGTATGCTGTCGAACTAGTTGAATACATAGTGTCGGGCTGAACGAGTAAAGCTTAACGAGTAACGATTCGCTGTTGAACTAGATAAATGCTTAGTAAGGGATAAAGGACGCGACGCACCTCATGAGCTCGTAGGCAGCATTTGTGGAATGTGGCCGAACCAAATGATGGATGGGTTCCTGTGTGGTCAGCGGCGTGGACGATGTGCCCTGGAGCATGCTGCGACGATAGGCACGCTCAAACGGCGTCCGTGACATGAATGAGGCACCATCTGCGAAATTATCAGCCGGGGAATCGACCACATCGTAGGTAAGCAAACGATTCACATAGCTGTTACCCAGCGCTGGCTTATCCGCCGACTGTATGAGCCGATTGAAGCTGGGCCGCCGCTCGCTGGTGGGCGTCAGAAATGGATCAGCTTCGATGCGTTCGCTTACGACGTCGGGTATGGTGCCCATCGAGCGCATCTTCTGTATGGGATAATGCGACGGCGTCGCTGGACTCTCCTGGCCGCCATCCTGCCCAATGAACTTGGCATTGCCCACCTTCGATTGATGCTGATGATGCGTCTGATGCTTGACAAACAGTTTGCCCGATGAACTATTCGATGTGGTCGAATTCTTGCGCAGATTATAGCTGTGCATATACAGATGATGCTGGTGGTGATGATTGTGCTGCTGGACACGCATACGCTCCTCCAGTGATTGATCGCGTATGCGTTCAAATTCCTTACGCACCGCCTCCTCCGAGTAGTCGTCGAAGCACAGATTATTTAGCGATTTCATTTTCGGTATTTGTGCACGTTCGGCCAGCTGTTTGAGACGCCGTGGTGAATTGCGATCTAGCTCCATGGAGGCCTTGTGAAATTCCATTTCAAGTATGGACAGATTCTCCATGGACTTGATTTTGGCCACACGCGGCGTATGATAGTTCTCCTCCAAGCCCGAATCATTATCGCCTGAATCCTCTGGGGCATATTCGTCCGATTCACTGGTCGTCTCGGCGCTATCATAATACTGCGTTGCCTGCAACAACGATGGCAGCGGCATCTCCGCCATGGGCGTGAGAAAATCCTCAAAGCCAGACAACTGATGCTGCTGCTGGTCGCCGGGATTTAGTGTGGCATTCGGTGTTTGGTAGAGCAGCTCTTCGCTTTCATATTCGATGGTGGTGCTGAGGAGGCTGACAGTTGCCTGCGGCTTGCTCTCTGGACCGACTTGATGTTCCTGCACCAGACCCAGGCGCAGTCCCAGGCCCAAGCCCAGTCCCTGGGGCTGTGGTTGCTCCGCTTTGTGTATATTCAATTTCATGGCATTTATAGCTCTCTGATTGAGCCTATTAAGTAGAGAAACGGATTTTCTAAAACGACTGAGGTATGTTTTTTTTTCGACGTACGTAGAAATACATTTGTTTTTGTTTTTTGTTTTTTGTTTTGTTTTTTTTTTTTTTTATAGATGAGTGTTAATGTATTTTATATAGTTTTACAGTTGGTTAGTTGGCCATTTACCCGTTTATATATTCAAATTATATACATTACATATGTTGGTTATAAAAGAAGAAGAAAACGAAAAATGTGTTAAACAAAATTAGCCAAAAGCAAACAAATAATTAACTAAATTTAAAAAGGGGTATTTAAAGTAAAAGCTACTATCAAAACCGGATTAAAAAAGCCCGCAAATTCCATTATATAATTTTTTATAAACTACATACATATTGATACTTATATATAAAGACTAAACTAAAATGTGTTAAATTTTAAAAATGAAAACAATTAAAAAACCAATTCCATTTTATGTACTTTGTGAATGAGGTGAGTGAAGAGTAGGTGGAGTGAGTGCTCTAGACAAGTCACCGTAGACAAATTATTATTCCTGCGGGTTCTTATCATATATTCCATATTTTATTTATTAATCGATCTTTATTATAGATCTTGTTTGGTTCAGTATAAGATTTGCTCAATTTACGAATTAATTTAAATGGAATTCCGATTTAAATTTTAATTAAATTAAAGCCCTTCCCCAATCAATATGAGATTAGCTGTTTGATCTGTTTTTCGACCTAATGAACTGTTCTATTTTCTCAGATATTTATGCTGAACATTATGAAAAGATTTTTGATTCTCAAACTGAGCTTTGAGTTTGTCCTAACCTTAATTTTAGTTCTTCTTAGATTTGTTTAGATGGATATTTTTTTATATTGTTAACTTATTTCAATCAATTTATATGCCCATGTCCATCCATCCATCTATACTCATCATTACTCAAGTTCGTCAGTTTTTACTTAATAGTCATTCTCAATTCTCATTAGTTGAGTTTTTTTTATAAGTTAATCCACATGCAAACAATATTTTGTACTTTTGTTTTTAAATATATGTTTCTTTATAAAATTTGTTAAACGGCTATATATCTCTTCTTCTAGCATACATTAACAGCTGACCTCGACTCTTGAATCTATACTTGTTTATTATTCACTTTTGTACTGCCCCCATCCAAAGGCTTCTCAATAACTCTTCATTTCTTTAAACACTTTATCAACTTAGTTACTTTTTAGTTGCTTTACATTTTATTACAGTTTTCCAACTATTTAGTTTTCTATTTAGTTTCCTAGTTCATGTGGTGGAAAATGCAGCGGAGCAAAAAAAAAAAAAAAAAGGGAAAGAAATCCGTGCAAATGGCAGATGCAAACTCGTGACCTTTGAAGAGCTCAAACATGACGTCAACTGATGAAATCACCAGCTGTGCAGAGTTGGCTTTTTTCCCTTTAAGTATTTGCTGTGTAAATAATTCTTCTGTGAGCTCGACGAAATTTATATAATGCAGCTGCACGCGAACATTAAGCAAACAGACGCACGCTGAATTCAATTAGAATACGTTTTTTTTTAAATAAAATTTCTATTTGGATTCTAAGAATCAGCGACAGTTTGTCTGCCTGTTTGGACAAGGAAGTGGGAGTTTTGGAGCGTGTGTGTGTGTGTGTGAGTATACATGTCAGCATTTGACCTTAAACTTAACGCAATGAGACATTTTTCCTAGTATATATATTATATATGTATATATTAAACTAATTTAGTTAATTATAAAAAGTAATACAAAAACAATTATTATTTGCCTAGACTATGCATAACTGCGCTAGTATTTAATAATACTAAATATATAGTATTAATTTAGAAACTTGCGGCTGTCATATATGTATTTATATCTATATATAACTCTAACTTAGCTAAGTAAAATATTCTAATTCAAAATAAGTTAAGAAAATAAGATCGAAAGTTAAATATGTATTGTGTACAGTGTATGTGTGTGTGTTAAACAGTGTTGTTTAATAATACTGTTTTGCAATAGAATTTGGTTTAGTAGACATTTAGGGCGAATAGTATATGTGTATTTCGTGTGTGTGTGTCTGTATGTGTATTTTTTAGACGCGTCTCTTTTGTATAGATACGCAAAGAGAGCTTTAGCATATATAGCGCATATATAGTATAGAGAGGAGCATAACAAAGTTATAATAATTATATAGATTTTAGATATTCGATATTCGGAAATTAAATAGCGAATTGTGGCAAAACAAATCAAATTTTAATTCAAAGCTTTATACATTTTTCAAGCTATACGTAATATGTAGATGGATATGAAGGCATTTTTGCTCTTTTCCTTTTTTTTTGTTTGTTTGCTTTGTGGTTGATAACTTACCTAGCATGCCCCGAGTCACCCTCGGAGCTTTGCCTCGAATGTTGACTGTGCGAAAAACTACTATAACCCGAACCCTTTGACATCTGAGTGAAAAAGAGAAATACATTAGCAAACGACTTCTCTAGAGATTTTGCGAACAATTTCGACCAAGTGCTGAGAGATTGATGGGCTTACTTGACTAGTATTACTGGAATTCCTGGAGTGTCCCATTTCCATAAGCGCCGCCGTATTAACAACGCCCACATTAGCGCCTGTGGTGCCATAATTATTGCTGCCAATCACACCCAAGCCGGGCGCCGGTTGGCTAACCGTCACAGGCGTTGTGGCACTGGCTGAGGCAATCACATGCTGCTGCAGATTGTCTGTGGTCAGCGTCACAGCTGATTCCGAGGACTCGGACAAGCCGGAGTCAGTGACAATTGCCGCTATCATGATCTGTGTGTCGAGATCTACTACTAAAATGTATGCAAAAAGTTGAGTGAATTGAGTTGAAGTTGAAGCGAGTAGATATTTATGTGGCACTCACCCTCATCCCTGGCGGTGGAGACAGGTCGCGTGCCCGCTGCACTCACTGTGCTGGCCACGCCGCCCAGGGTGGCGCCACTGCCACCCAGAGGTATGGCTGTGCCGCCACTGCCGCTGCCCATGCTGGACAATGCTGTGGCCGTTGGCGTCTGTAGACTACCGCCACATGCCACATCATTGGCCAGATCATCTGCAGAGGGTTTGCTGGGCTTGTTCTTCAAACTGGGCGTGGGCCTATCCAGTGCATGCAAAGATAATTAGCTCATAGATGCATACGTATTTATTTCAGATAGTTCACTTACGCCTTGAAGAGTATATCCCCGCTTAGCATATGCATTTTGATGCTAACTCTCAGCATTGAGTTATCCAGTCGATGGCGTGCATCGTATCCCTCGAGCAGAAAACGACGTGATGTCAGACCGGCGCCGGCGAACTCCGCCAGATTTAGATCGATAAAGCCGAGCTTGTAATAGCTGCGACCGCCCTTCATTTCCTTACGGATCGAGATGCGCAAATGGCAGGGATCTAGGACGCCTGTGGAGGCATTTGCGCTCATCTTGCAGGGAAACTCAAAGCTGCGATTCCATTCAACGCGATGATTGCGGACCTCCTCGCTGGTTATATGAATGTTAATAAATTTAAAACAAGAAATGCAATATTGTATTGTAAAACTAAAGAAAATTTATTTATTTATAATTTATAAAAACTATTATAATGTTTTTCGATCATTCTTTAAATGCTTTAAGTTCCCTTTCAGTAATTTTGTTTCAATAGTTTTCATTATTAGTAACTTAAATTTACAAACCTGCCAAACCTTGACTGGCTTCAATACTTATAGAATCAATATTGTCGAAATCAAAGCGATAACGATATCGATAGATCTATGCTTTTTTATCGACAGTAATAAAGGACAACTCACCGACTGCTGTACTCCTGGAAGGAGCCACCGTCCAGTAGCCGTATCTTGGCAAAGAGCACCTCATTGACCAGAGCCACCTCGACCAGATCTTGCAGCTGGACTTCCACATTGAACTTGTACTTTTTCTTTTTCATCATAAAGGCCATGCCAGGGGCGCTAGGCCCAAGTAGTGTCATCAATTTCCTTGCCTACAAGCCGTTGCGTTGCGGCGTTGCCACCTAGTCCCAAAAATGTGAAACCAAATCGGCTTTGGGCGGTCGCCAAGCACCGCCTCAAACAGGTGTTTTGAGCTATTTAACTTTGACTCTAGCAGCTGCTCTGTTGTTCCGTAGACTCAAAAATTTACCCTTTTCGCAATCTGTTGTGGTTGGCTTTGATATTATTGTTCTCTTATAGTGTAGTAGTTTTTAGTATTTTTAGTTTCCTCTCAATTGATGTGTTGTGCTACTTGACAGCCATGTTTACAATTTGTGCATGGCTTGGGCCTTGAAGTCATACTACGCGTCCACCTGGAAGAATAGCCAAAGGAAAATCGGTATGAAAAATCAATGACATTTTCTATATTTTCGTCTGTGCAACTTACAACCCAATTGGAGGAAATGTGTGTGTAATTTCAATAGATATATAATGTATATATAGATATATATGTATAATGGATGAAAATTGAACAGAAAAATCTTTAACTACCTACTTATTCTGTTTGCATTGTCTGTCAAAGTATTCGAATCGGTCGAATAATGTCTCTGACGGTGGTCATGCAAAATGGCAATTTACAATTAAGTTAAAAATACATTTTTATTTCCCAGAACTCACTAGAGTATAGAGGAAGCGCTTCTTGAAAACGAAATGAATGGTAGACTATGCAAATTCGGAAAGGGTGGACCAAATACATCGAATCTTACTCAATTAGATAAATGCCTTAATAAAAATGATAATTTCATTAACCTTCGTTGGGTACTAAATAATTCTTCAATTATAAATTGAAGAGTATACCTGTTTTATATTTATCGAAATTATTATCGAAATTAACAAAATATGTATTTTTACGAATAACTATAATAATGGAGAAAAAGTATTTCCTCTGAGTATTTGCTCTAAATATTTTCTCTAAATCTTTAAGGCTTAGCTGAGCTGAACACACTTCACTGCACTGCACGACTGACCCTACCAGGCCTGGGCGACTGAAGAAATACTGCATATGCTGCTTCCATTCAAACACTAAGTCGCACTCAAATGTTGAGCCCGGTGCCAGGTAGAGGTCCTCGTATTCGAGCTTTAAGTGACTAATGGGAGCACTCTCTGCTGCTGCAAGCATTCTAACTTGTTTTACTTAAATATAAATAGCAAATTAATACTGCTCAATACATATAGGCATAACATAAATGATCTTCTGTAGTTCTTCTACGACTATGTTAAGCAAACAGACGAAGAGACAGTCACGTATACAGATAGACATACGAACAGATATACTTAAATCGGATTGCCTCATGAAACTGCTTAGGATTCAATATGCTTGAAAAGGCTAAATGTCTATATGCTAACTAACTTAAGTACATTAATAAATACAATTAATAGATGGCATAGACAGTTACTTCTGTTCTTATGTTCTCTTAAGGACTGCATAGTCTGCTTTCACTTCTGGCCATTTCATATCTCACAGAAACAGCCTATGTCATAATTTCATCACATCATATTCTATTACAGAGCATCTTTAGGTCATTCATCCCGGCCAATTCCATTCAATTATAACTGTCATCAATTTCGTTGTCATTAAAAAGAAGTTTTCGAGGCGCCTAATCGTAACGCTAGAATAGACGTCAATCAAAACGCAATAAGGTGAGTAAAATTCATCGCATAAATTAAGCTGCAGCACTTTAGTAATTAAAAGGGCCAACACGCAAGATACCATAAGTAGAGACAGCACAGAGAATGAGGGCGAGAGATAGCGAGGGAATCGTGCCAAGATTACCTCATGATGCGTCCTATTTGGACTTGGCTATATTTCGCGTGCTTTCTGAAGTTATTATACAAATGTTTTTTTTATTTGTTGTCGGCTTTAGCAAATCGATGACGCATTATCATCAGCGTCACAATTGCTGGCGATTTTATGCTTGCTGGCAAAGAATAGAATTAAGAATATTGTGGTTTGCCATTCTTAATCGCTAAAATCATTTAACATTTTTAGAGATTTAGCTGAAAAACATTCATATATAGTATTTTTTTAAACTATTTATTTATTTATTTTTTTTTTTTTTATTATTTTATTTTCTACGCCCCCAAGAGGCACATTTCTAATTCTCCGCATATACAATATTAAAGTCAAGCGCACTGATAACAAAAAAATATTAGATCCGGTTGCGACTGCCAACAAACCTTAACCTGAGCTTGATAAGACATTCCTAAAGTTGAGATTTTGAGGTTTCATAAATCACAATCCATCAGAATTCAGTATAAAATTGATTTCAATTAAGTGTGATTCAATATTAATTTTTGAAATATACTATGAAAGCTAATGTTAATGTGCGACTCGTTGCTTCACTTTAGGACACCATAAAGTATAAATAATGCAGTAAACAGAAGTGCTCAACCTATTATATTTATATTTGTATATATATATAGGTATTTTCAAAATATATATCTTCAATAGATGGCTATTGCAGAAAACCAATATACTCTTTAATTTCCCGAACGGGCATAATCAGCAAAAATAAGTAAAATAATTATAATAACAAACAGAGGAAAAAGACAAACATGCACCAACATCATCTGCTAGACGCCTACGTTGATATCTTTTGTGAGTTTGCCATTTGCGACATTTTTTCGGCTGCTGACTAATTTTATATATAGCACTCTCTGATCAATTCTAAGAACCAAGACAATGCTGTTGACGCTGTTGTTTTATTTTCATTTTTCTTTTTTAATTGAGCTGCGTGCCTTTTTGCTTTGGCAACTAATCTCAATAAACAATTAAAGCAAAGTTGATTTGAGAAGAGAACAATAAAAAGGCACGTAAAAAACCCAGTTGATTGAAAATAGATTATAAATAAAGAAAAAGATGTGTACAGAAAAGATGTGGTTTTTCTTTCAGTGCATGTTCGCTTTTATATAAATGTATACATAATTACAAATTGCCAATGAAACAGAAACAGAAAGCATTATATTTTAAATTTTCAGATCAATATGTGAATAGATGTGTGATTCAGAAAGGATAAGGTTAAGATTTTTAAAATCAAAGTTTATAGAAGCGCTCTCCAGAGGGCTTAAGACTTTAATGAAATTTGAAATTTTTCAATAAATATAAGTTGAGTTAATGCAAATAAATTTGATTTCAAATTCTTTAATTTCTTATAAATTTTTGTTTTAAATCTTGTCTAATTGTCAATATACTTATTATAGAATCATTGAATATTCCATATATATACGAATATTTTCATTTATGATTATGTCGCTTTTCAAGACTTTCAATTTACGAACTCTAAATTCTGAAATACTTAAAAAGTTATGTTAATATTATTCAATTCATAGTGGATAAATAAGAAGGGCGCTCCAGTTACTTTCAGGGCTCTCTTATTTCTCTCTTCAATCCACTTGAAGTCCTCGCTTTAACCTGACCAAATTTGCGATGAGCAACAAACAAATCCGTTGCGAGCCAATTACGTCCATTATATCCATTAGCTGAATATGCCCCAATCAGTTGGATAAACATTGCCAGACCAATCATAACCGAAACCCATTAACCCAGTTATTGCCACAGGCAAAAAATAACGAAATGAAGAGATTGGGTCTCGAGTGCACACACCCCGTCATAAAATATATATATGTATATGCAATAGCAGCCCAAAAATCTCTTGCAGCGCTTGTTGTGTTTTTTTTTGCACGCTTCGGGTGGGCTGTTGGACTTCACCAAGCACATGTGACCGCACCCAAAATAAACCTTTACGGAATTACAGAGACCGTAAAGTGAAAAAGCTTAGGGAGCAAAACCTAGTGTGGTCAGCGGCCAAGGAAACTTGCCGAGAAAAGTGACCATATGAACTAAATGACCGACTGGGTAACTTCATTGACTGCAACTTTATGCTGAAAATAGCCTGAAGAGTTGTAAAACAATAATTGGGTATATTCATTGATTAACGACTACTTGAAGTGCCCAAAAATATTGTTTTTTTTTTTTTGTAAATAAATAAACAGATTTCTCTCCGTTTAATACATAGATATTATATATGTGCTAGGCTCTCTTACATCATTTTAGTTTTTTTTTGTAGGTATACCAGTCGTTAATCCCTTTGGTTCTTTTAAGTGCTTGCACACTCATTTGTGGGTGTGCCTGTTAAAACGAACAACTTCAAGGCAAGTGCACAATGTTGTGTTATTGTGTCCTTTAGCTTTTCCCTTGCTGATTGCAAAAGGTCTCTGCGTGTGTGTGTGTGCGTGTGTAGCTAAAGCCTAGTTGATAAATTAGAGAGTTTTAATAACCCATATACTCATGGTTTTTTAATAAGATCTACACACAAAATACAGTGATATGGGAGCTTATTTTATTTGCACTTAGTTGACAATTGAAATGATATATTGAGTGCATTTGCACTAAGGAATTGATAGTCTGTCTTCACTAATCAGTTCCAATCAGTGTCTAAGACCTTTTTGGTGCAGAAGTCAATTAACGAGTGTTCACAAATTTACTTTGTTGACCTTTACCTTGCCGCATCATCATCACCATCATCCCGTTTATTATTATTAACAATGACGCAGCAGCAGAAAATAACAGCAAAACAGATGTAGGAAAGAGAAGAGTGCGCGCACTCACACTGAAACAACATTCAAATTCATTGCTAAACATACCACAGACTGCACAAATATTTATTGTACACATAATATATATATATATATACATATATATCTGCATCTCGGTCAACAAAGCATCAACGCACGCCGGCTGATGACAGCTGAACTGTAAACGAAAAACTGTTGAAGCGAATCGCGCGAATCAAGAGAGATTTGGGTGGGTATTTCAAAACTATGTATAGCTTGCAAATATATTGCAATACGCCCACTAAAATAAAAAATAACAAGATCCGGGTTTAATTACAGCGTCAACAATATTGTGAAACAAAACTTGAGATACAAACATAAATACAAACTGAGTCGGTAGAAAGAAAGTAAACCAACATGAATAAAATAGAAATGAGATAAAGGA